TTTGTTATATTATAAAGATATACATCCCAGGTGTTCGTGAACACTCTTTTTGTCATTTACTCAGTTGATGTTAGAGTGTAAACATGGCCAGCATTGTTTATCAGCAGGATAAATTGTCCAAGAAGTTCTGAAACTAGCATAGATTACTAGAAATACACATTCAGGTATACACAAAGGGCAAGCTTAATGGGCGTACAGCTAAAGTGAGGTATGCCAAAACAGTTTTTGAAGAAAAATTATCAAAATCGATACTTGCTAAAGAAATATGATATGGTCCAAGTAGCTGAAATCGAAAAACTCATAAAGAAAGGAGGCAACGATAAATTTTGTGTATTTTAGTTAATGTATCAACTTTATACAGCTGTTTATAGTGTACGTAAGGTTCAATTTTTTTAATAAATGAGATCTTTGGTATACGTCAATTGGACAGCAAGCCAGCCCCACAAAAACAAGAGGTAAATATACAATCAGTGTTATTACGTAAGGAATATAAATAACATACTGTAAAACTTTTAACTGAAAGTAAGCTCATTGTAACCTACTGATTGTATATAATGTCATCCATCACATTAGTATCGGCGACTTAACTAAGGGTAGATTTCATTCAACAATGTCATTCATAAGGCTTGTGTGCTAATCTGGGTTTTTTCTTTCCAGGTTGCCTTATTCTATACTATCTATCTATAAAAGAGATGTATGATTTTATAAAAAACAGCTCATGTAGGGGTTGGTCATAGAGGTATATAAAACCAACAAAGAACTTAACAACATTTTGTAAAGTTATCAGGGAAGCGATCTGTGTATCTTACGCGTAATTGTTTATTGTGCGGTCATTATTTTTTTTTTACCAAATCCATATTATAAATTATTGTACAAGTTATAAGTGAATTTTAGTCAAATATTTGTAAAAAAAAAATTATAATTTGCATAAGCACTTTTTGGACAAATTACAATTTGTACAAAGTCAATATACAAAATATATTTTATGCAAAATGATAACTTGTAAACAAAAATTGAAAACAACACGTTTAATCATTTCATGCGTCCGAAGCGCTTTTCTGGATTTACCTTCATCAGGAACGCTCAAAGCCAAACATTTGAAATCCGAGGATGTATAAGTACCGAAACAGTTGAAGAGCTATATGACAAAAATACCTAGAAAAATAGCCAAATTCATCAAAGGCCAACTTTGCCTGAGGGAGTTGAAACCTTAGTTTCTTTATAATTTCAAAATTTATAAACGGACAATTTTAGAAAGGTTTGTTATAAATCATGTCAGTACCGAAGTACTGACTACTGAGCTGATGATACCCTCGGGGACTGATAGTCCACCAGCAGAGGTATCGACCCAGTGCTGTAAAAAATTGAAAACAACACGTTTAATAATTTCATGCGTCCAAAGCGCTTTTCTGGATTTACCTTCATCAGGAACGCTCAAAGCCAAACATTTGAAATCCGAGGATGTATAAGTACCGAAACAGTTGAAGAGCTATATGACAAAACATATACATGTACAAAATATTTGAGTGTGCCATACAAACCCTTGTTTTGTCGCCGTTTTAGTAATAGCATCGAAATAAGATAGAACGATACTGTAGAATATCTTCAAGATTTCCAGATTATTATCCATCATTTTATTTAATTTACTTCTGAATTTTAAAGCAAAAAAATGCGTTTTTCGGGTTTCTTTCGCTGTCACGTTTCATCCCGATATAACAAATCTGTTATCTATTGTCTGCAAGCACCGGTGTCTAATTAAAAATAACCTCCTTTTATGCCTACCGCAGACCCTAAAAATGAAAAAGATGTACAAGTTACATCTAAAGTGAGAGAAAAACCAATTGACCTCTGAAATAAGGGGTTACTAACAATGCAGAAGTAATTGTAAGGGACGACATCAAAAGTTCAATATAGGATAAAAAACTTAATTCACATAGTTTTTTCACTGATATCTGTATATTAACCTCACTTTCAGGTATAGAGATGTGATTTTATTTCTGAGACAAATGCTTGTGACTATCCACAAGAACTTGCAGTCATCCGATGTTCAGTACTTCAGTTCTTTGATTTTTAGAATGCCACCATGCCGTGTGGACCAAAACAATCTCTGTTGATCTGTATATGGGTTTCATATCATTTAAAATTCACGATCGATAAAGCGGTTTAACGACGTAGATACTATGATTAATTTCGCCCCAATACTTTCGTCCAAAAATTTGCTTTCCAGTACGATTTGATGGCTTTCATTTGGGTTAAAAGTCCAAACATATGTTAGTACCGAACTTAAATCCATATTTTTCATTCCGAAAATCGATGTCTGATAAATAAAACTTGCAGCGATTTTTACCCCACCCCCAAGTTATTTGAATTGAGTTTTTTATCCAACATTGATCTTTCGATGTCGTCCCTAAGAGCTGTAAAAGACCGATAACTTCGCAAACACTTACGTACATCGCAGTAACAGACGTGCAATACAATATATATCCAACATCTAAGTATTAATGTAAAATATTATTTATTTTCTTAATTGAGGAACTTGAAAGCTGCAATATGATGGCGAAACAGAAACAACACTTAACATCAGATTAAAAAATCATCGTTCGTTTTAAAGGCAGGAAACCGCCAAATGACGACACACCTTTTAAGAACAGATTATTATTCTTTAAAATATCCTTTCAATTAATGATAAAGGCTAACCAAAATTGGTATTATGATAGAGATGAAAAACAGTATTTTCAAATATCAAAAGAATAAGTCTTAAAAGTTACAATGTTACCTGGCAAAATTTATTCTGTTGTATCTTTTATGAATAAGTTGCAAAAGTTTCGTATGAGCATCCGATGTATTACCAGGAGAGTCTAATCATAAAATTTGCCCGCTACCCCGACTTTTCTTTTCCTTATCTTATTACGTATAGTTTGAAAAGTCATTTTTGAAAATCTTATAAAATTTGTTCATAGTATTTGAAAGAAAAAAGGCAACATTGTTAAATATATGGAAAATCTGGGAGAATCATTTTTCGCCAAATTTTCCGTAACTAATATCTCAAAAACACGGACACAGACCTTTCATTTTTTTTTTATCTAGTTCCCTTATTTATAGACTATAGATTTATAACAGCGTTTTAAGAAGCTCGTAATTTTGAAACGGAGTAGCGAACATCCTTAACTACATTTGTCATTCTCAAATCCTATTCCAGTTTTACATGCCAAATTAAAAATTATGTGCCGTTTTGTATTTCATTACTAAGTTAGTGGTCATCCTGTTAGTTGCTGCACTGTGCAGGTTTTTATTATGAGTTAACTTTTATGACATAAGGTCTAGATAAACAAAAAGGGATGTTAGTGCGCACTATTTATGTTCTGCATTGTTCACATAGTTCAGTTGTTTTAATTGATCTTTTAAGATGACCACCAAGCTTTGCGACATAAGGTCTAGAAAAACGAAAAGACAGTACAACAGTTTTTATATAGAAACAACTACCAACATTGGACTCACTCACCAATGGGTATTCAACGCAGCGAGGATGTCCAACACCCGGATACGAGCTCCAGCTGGTCCCTAAACAATAATATATACTAGTTCAGAGAAATGGACGCCACACTAATAGGACTTAATTCAATAAAAACTCCGAAACATAAACCATGTTTAACTACATCATTGTGTGACTGTTCTATATCCAGATATCTTGACCATGCGTTGTTCGTTAGTTTTTTGTCTTTGTTTTTGAGTCTGTTTTTTTCGGGCGAGTCCAGTGTTGATGGTTGTTTCTATATAAAATATTATCAGATAGCATAGGAATAAGACTTTAAAGTTACAATGTAACCTAATATAATAATATTTAAAGGGATACAAATATATAATTAGAATAATTAAAAAACAACTGTTGTACTGTCATCTTGTTTATCTAGATCGTATATCGTAAAGCTTGGTGATCATTTTAAAATAAAACAACTGAACTATGTGAACAATGCAGATTAATATTAGAGATACTACCGAAACTAGAAGGTCTGTTTCATATCTTGATCTTTTCCTTAATATTGACAAACTTTAAACTAGCATCTATGACTACAGGATTTCAACTTTCCAATTGTCAACTCCCCATTCAGCAGCAGTAACACATCCTCTGTCTCATCTTATGGTGTATACATATCTCAATTAATATATAACGTTCGTGCACTAAATATGATGTACGGTCACCATCACGAATAGGTTTACCGATAAGATGTGGCTGTGTCAAAAACGCCCTGTTTTCAAGTCTTTATAGTAAGAGTTCATCCCGAAGTTTTTGTTTTACTTTGATTTGTATCTTCTAAATGAAATAATCACATTTGAACATCGGTACACTACTGTTGTATCTACTTTAGATAACCTTCGTCGTTGTTACCATAAAAGGGACATTAAAAACTAGTATGTTGAAGAGAAACCGACAGCACTAGGGCAAAAATTACGAAAAGACAACTTCACAAAACACTACAGATAAAACGAAATACTGAGCAACACGAAGCCCCTACGAACCGGGGTGATTTCATGTCAAAGTTGATGAGAAAATTAATGAAAACAAAAAAATGCAGCTTTTCGTTGTCTTGCTCATTTCATTTTATTTTGGTTCTTTTCTTGGGAAACAGTAATGCTGATAGAAATGTCGACGTAAGTAAGTACGAACTTTTTCTCTAGGTTTTTGTCGATTGAGTTTTGTACTGTTTTACGCTTGGTGATCATCTTAAAAAAATTAATGAAACAACTGAACTATGTAAAAATTGCAGATTATTTATTTTCTATCGCTTTTCTAAAAACATATGAAATTTGATGAAATACAAACGTATATGATGCAGGTAAAATTGAAGCAGGATATTCTAACAAAAAAGTAAAATAAAGTAAGAAATAGTAAACATAATCATTTCAAACATGTTTTTCAATAATACAAAGAAAAAAAAACAATATCAAAATTGTAATTGAATTTTAAAACTGAACATGATAAAGAAATTAATGTCCTTTTTTCGAGTAATATCAAATATGTTTTAATCATATTATGATTTGTTTAAGGCTGGTATACACATGAAAATTAAAAGCATATTCTACAGTTAGTCCATACGGATATCCGTGGGCGATTCAAAAGCATTTCCAATTATAGTTCATCCACAGCCGATTAAGCTTCTTCCACGAATGCGTCATTTACTGTTGAACATAATCTTGAAAATAAAAAAAAATAGAAAATGAAATTAAAATAGTTCACATCCACTTGTAAATCAACATTATAAAAAAGTAGATCTATAACTTCTCTGTTAGAGTGTCAATTGCAAAGTGGTTCAGTAATTGCGAGCATTCTTATATACGATATTTACGGAATAATGTTATTTGTATCATTGTGTTTGTCTTCAACCGAGGCTACTAATTTACGATGTTGAGCATATTCTTACACTGACTGTCATTTTTAACCAACCCGTATAAAATAATCTCTAAACATTCATTATCTGAACTACATATAAAGCACTAAACAACAGAATAAATCAAAATGTTTGAAAGAATTCGTGCGACAATTTTAACTAATGTGAATACATAATTGACTATTAATAACAGCTGTATTGTCTATCTGGCAATTGTACGGCTTTCCCCCGAAATAATTTGTTTTAATTCTATGCCGTTTTAAAGAAACTTGATTATCAAGGATCATTCTTACAGAAAGTATAATACTATCTAGTTGTGTCTTATGTGTATCAGTGTATTAGCGCTTGTATTTTATTGAGTTGAAAACTTTCCCTGAATGTTTTTGATATTGTGGTACCAATGTACTTTTAAATAAATTTGTTTTATTGTTGGTTCTTACCAATAAAAATATCTGTGGCCAATTCGTTCTTAAAAGTGCATTTGTTCTGCAAGGTACTTTTAATTTCAGTTAGAGAGTGTGTTGAGTTCTCGAAAACATAGATTACCTTGCAGCATGTTCATGTATCTGTCCCAAAACAAGACACTGTATAGTTATCGTCTTGTAAATTTCTTACTGTCATTTGATCCTGTTGTCGGACAAATTTTGTTTTGATGGCACGTTACGACCTTACCACATGGTATATAAACTATTGTACTTATTTAAATATCTTTTGGTGTTATTATCTTGCTGTGTTACTGTCTTATTTACATATTGTTTTTTATCATCAATATTAGCAACTGGGTTTTATAAAGATTCCAAATTAATTTCAAAATTAAATTAAAATTACGAGAATAGTTAAATAAGTTTAAATGATAGCGCATGTCCGAATAGGTAGTTAATATGGACTTACTTGCACGATGTCTGGCAAGTGATTAAAGACCATTTGAAATTGTGACCTCCACACATTCCGTATGCTGCAACCATTGGACACATTGGATCCTTGTCTTCATTAAATTCAGTGCACTCCTTCGATTGTTCTGTTGGCAAAAAAAAAAACCAATCAATTTTAGTATGTGGTAAATTTAAATGCATTAACTTACTTTTAACAATCTCATATCAGATTTGTTAATTTTTCTTTATAGTTTTATAAACACTAATGCCTGCAAGCACGAGTATCCCTTAGTTCCTGGAGCTGACACAAACCTATTAAAAGTTTATTGTAAGCGCAAATAAGACCAGTTTGACGCACCTCCGAGAACATGTGAAATAACCATCATTATACGACTTTCATTTTTCGGGATAGAATGTTAACTTGCAATATATAATTAGTATTGACCTGTATGGAAGTGAGGCCAGCTACATGAACATATTATCAAGGCAGCAGACACATAGGCGACATATGCATACATATAAACAATACATTGATATGGATATATATATATATAATATAAAATTATTGACACCTACGAAGGCTATTTGTTCAGCCGAAATATTTGTCAACACGTATCTATAACAACATCTTCGTATACTACCATCTTATGTTAGTACTGTTGTGCAAATCTTAAGACTTTTATAATGTCTTCCGTATTTGCGCAGTATCACCTATTCTAGACGATCCGGTACATATTAAAAATGCTGGTTAGTCCTTTTCACAGACATATATAGTCAAATGCGTTTTGTTTAAATATGCTTTTTCACTTTTTTGGTCTTTTGGAAAATGTTGTTTGTGCTGTATTTAGACCCCTCTACAAAGAAATTTGTTTTGCATGCACACGTATAAAAATTGCGGTTTTTATCCAACGCAATCATAGGTTTGAACGTTGTTTTCAATTTAGACTTATTTATATTTTTTCGTTTGGGCTTGTATTATATATGCCTTTGGGTTTATATGATCCGTTCATCCTATTTCGACTCTTCAAAATTCAAGAGTCTATCCTAAATTGAGGTAAATTATATGGCCTTCCAAATAACGTTTCGATTCCTAACATCACTGAAGAGACATTAATTGTCGAAATCCGGATATGGTGTACAAATTTTTGCACCTCATGTTTCCGGTATACCATCTTTTCCGCAAGTTTATTGTTTTCTGTTTGGTTTTAAATTGATAATAAAGATCCATTTTGTTACATCTTGTGATCCGTTTATTTGGCAATCGCCAATGGCAGTCAGCAGGGTTTAAGAACATCCGTTGTTCGACCTGCTAGTCAAATGCGTTTTGTTTAAATATACTGTTCACTTTTTTGGTCTTTTGGAAAATGTTGTTTGTGCTGTATTTAGACCCCTCTACCAAGAAATTTGTTTTGCATGCACACGTATAAAAATTGCGGTTTTTATCCAACGCAATCATAGGTTTGAACGTTGTTTTCAATTTAGACTTATATATATACATGTAGGGTTTAAGAACATCCGTTGTTCGACCTGTTAGTCAAATGCGTTTTGTTTAAATATACTTTTTCACTTTTTTGGTCTTTTGGAAAATGTTGTTTGTGCTGTATTGAGACCCCTCTACCAAGAAATTTGTTTTGCAAGCACACGTATAAAAATTGCGGTTTTTATCCAACGCAATCATAGGTTTGAACGTTGTTTTCAATTTAGACTTGTTTATATTTTTTCGTTTGGGCTTGTATTATATTTGCCTTCGGGTTTATATGATCCGTTCATCCTATTTTGACTCTTTCAAAATTCAAGAGTCTATCCTAAATTGAGGTAAATTATATGGACTTCCAAATACCGTTTCGATTCTTAAAATTACTGAAGAGACATTAATTGTCGAAATCCGGATATGGTGTACAAAATTTTGCACCTCTTGTTTGCGGTATACCATCTTTTCCGCAAGTTTATTGTTTTCTGTTTGGTAATAGATTAATAATAAGATCTATTTTGCTACATCTTGTGATCCGTTTATTTGGCAATCGCCAATGGCAGTCAGCAGGGTTTAAGAACATCAGTTGTTCGACCTGCTAGTCAAATGCGTTTTGTTAAAATATACTTTTTCACTCATTTGGTCTTTTGGAAAATGTTGTTTGTGCTGTATTTAAACCCCTCTACCAAGAAATTTGTTTTGCAAGCACACGTATAAAAATTGCGGTTTTTATCCAACGCAATCATAGGTTTGATCGTTGTTTTCAATTTAGACTTGTTTATATTTTTTCGTTTGGGCTTGTATTATATTTGCCTTCGGGTTTATATGATCCGTTCATCCTATTTTGACTCTTTCAAAATTCAAGAGTCTATCCTAAATTGAGGTAAATTATATGGACTTCCAAATACCGTTTCGATTCTTAAAATTACTGAAGAGACATTAATTGTCGAAATCCGGATATGGTGTACAAATTTTTGCACCTCATGTTTGCGGTATACCATCTTTTCCGCAAGTTTATTGTTTTCTGTTTGGTAATAGATTAATAATAAGATCTATTTTGCTACATCTTGTGATCCGTTTATTTGGCAATCGCCAATGGCAGTCAGCAGGGTTTAAGAACATCAGTTGTTCGACCTGCTAGTCAAATGCGTTTTGTTAAAATATACTTTTTCACTCATTTGGTCTTTTGGAAAATGTTGTTTGTGCTGTATTTAGACCCCTCTACCAAGAAATTTGTTTTGCAAGCACACGTATAAAAATTGCGGTTTTTATCCAACGCAATCATAGGTTTGAACGTTGTTTTCAATTTAGACTTGTTTATATTTTTTCGTTTGGGCTTGTATTATATTTGACTTCGGGTTTATATGATCCGTTCATCCTATTTTGACTCTTTCAAAATTCAAGAGTCTATCCTAAATTGAGGTAAATTATATGGACTTCCAAATACCGTTTCGATTCTTAACATCACTGAAGAGACATTAATTGTCGAAACCCGGATATGGTGTACAAATTTTTGCACCTCATGTTTGCGGTATACCATCTTTTCCGCAAGTTTATTGTTTTCTGTTTGGTAATAGATTAATAATAAGATCTATTTTGCTACATCTTGTGATCCGTTTATTTGGCAATCGCCAATGGCAGTCAGCAGGGTTTAAGAACATCAGTTGTTCGACCTGCTAGTCAAATGCGTTTTGTTAAAATATACTTTTTCACTCATTTGGTCTTTTGGAAAATGTTGTTTGTGCTGTATTTAGACCCCTCTACCAAGAAATTTGTTTTGCAAGCACACGTATAAAAATTGCGGTTTTTATCCAACGCAATCATAGGTTTGAACGTTGTTTTCAATTTAGACTTGCATGTATATATATATATATATATATATATAATTAAATATTGTTTTCAATTTAGACTTGTAATTATATATTATTAGTTACATGGTGTGTTAGTGACCTAATACGATATATATGGGGTCAGTAAATTCCATATTGGGTGAGAGCGAAGCTCGAATCCTCATATGGAATTTACTGACACCATATATATCGTATTAGGTCACTAGCACACCGTGTAACGAATTTATCTTACCCAATATCTTAACAACTTGTTAGCTTGAAATTTGTTTTATGAATTTATTTCAATCGTTCATTATCAATTTCTTCATCTGTTGAAACCTTTCAGATTTCTTTTTTGTTTTAAAAGGGAAGTAACTCCTTACTAACCCCATATGGTAACTAACCCCATATTTTTTAGGACACTCTATATCAAATATATGTAGTCACCACGTGTAGTCCTTTAACCAATCATATCCCCAGAAATCTATAGGAGATAAGATAAATAAATTTATTCTGTCAAACACCTAATCCCATGCAGTTTATGTAGCTGTTATGTGTTATCTTTATTCCCTAATGGATAACTATAGAAATCTGGTTGGTATTCTACGAACTTTTATGGACCTGAAACTACCTACTCCCAAATTTTTCAAGAAGAAAGTAAAGGACTAAACTATAATTTGAGGTATGTGTTTTAAGGAGTATTTCGAAATGTGTTATGGACAGCAATATTGTAGGATCAAAAGATTAGATTAACACTTTCCCGATCTTAGTCATTCAGGCAAAAGATAAAAGTAACATCTTGCATTTGAAACATGCACTTATTATATACCTATATGGAGTTGAACGATAGGTCATTCTGTCGAAGAATCAACCCGGACAATACCAGGTTTCAATGAAATATGCTTCAAGGCATAAAATAATGACCAACATGGAATTTACTGACGCCATATATATATATATATATATATTGTCGTTGACGCACATTTTAACTTTCGAAACAAATAATGTGAAGTTTTGTTTATTTATCACTACAATAAAGGGCCATTATGTGAGATGAATTTAATAATGCAAAATTTTCATAACATTTAAAACAAGCCAGATTTAACACATTCGTGTGTAGGATTTTGACAATCTTATTGATTCACACTGTATTGGAAATCACACATTTTGACCTACATATATTGATATTCGTTTTTCGTGTTACATGTACATATTTAATCCTGATTCTCAGTTTAAAAAAAAATGCATTGCCATTCAAAAAAGAAAATAATTTTGAATAGTTCAATTCGTTAAAATTGTTGAAAAAATAATCTGCCTTTTTCGCGATAAAAAAACCAAAATAGCATTCCCTTTCAACAACTAAGTTGGTACAATAAATTACTTACAAATTGACTTGTATTTTTCATACACCGTTATCGGGCGGTAACTTGTTTCATGCAGTTACAGATATATTTTTATTGTGCCTGGATAAAGATTTCTAAAGTTTATATCTAGATTAATTATTGAGTGTTATTTCACATTATAAATGAGCCGTATAGCGTCTTAAAACATGAACGCATCAGAAAAGAATATCATACTTTAGTGTGGTAAAATAGGATGCAAATCCTGCAAATATTTGCAGATATTAATATTTTTTACGGTATATAAGTCAGATCATGCATATTTTAAGGGTTATCTTGTCGTATAACACAACTCAAGGTGTTATACGACAAGAAAAACCTTAAAATATGCATAATCTATAACATCTACATGGGTTATGCTTATGCACATCAAACACCACGAAATATTAACCTTAATCACTGATCCATTAAATGAGGTCGAGGTTAGGTGAACATGGTCACTTAATCTACATCGTTTATGCTTATGCACACCAAAACAGCTTTGGACCTGAACCTTGTCTGGATCTACACTCCATGAGTATAAGAGAATGTCTTGTGGCATTAAAATGACAGAAATGAAAGTGTGTTTGAGTGTCTTTCATCAATATTGTATATGAAAAAAATGTTTGGCATGTAATAAGATCTGTCAATTATCTACCCAAAGTTGGTGGTTCCTCTGGCTTCCTCTGCCTAAAAAAATGACAGCCATGACGTGCATGTAGCTGAAATACTACAGAAAGAAAGTGCTGTTCACATCTGTTAAGCCATTCTACCAATCAATTAATTACTAATTTTAGATTATTTTGCAATAATTGCGCTTAAAAGAAATGATAAAAACTTTAGGGTAGAGGTTCAAAAATGCATTGTTGGGACGACCGTTGACCGTTTTGATATTTATTTTCTACTAATTCTAACATTAGTAATTGACAATTTCATTGAATGGAATCAGCAATCAATCAATTAGGTTTGTGTTAAAAATAAACGAAAGACATGTACATAGCAAGCAAAGCATTCTTGATTTTTCTCATAATGTCAAACGTGTATACTCTAATATTTAAATTTTACCATAAAATATAAAAACATTCGTTCACAATTTTTTTTTATACCTATGTATATACTAGTTCAACATTAGAATTTGAAACAAGGCATTAATAATTACTGTGAAAGGTTTTTTTTATTTATTTATGGAGAATTTTGAATGAGGGAAATATTTTCCCTTATTAGAATAATTGTGAAACTTCTTTATTACTTCAAGTTAAATATCTTTAAAACATTCAAAAATTGATGTTCTCCGGTTGATATGTGTTTCTCTTAAATTACAGGCGCGCCCTTAATTTTAAAAACGATTGGATCAGTTTGATTGAAGATTAACCTAATAACTATTATTTACAGAACTCTACTAAGTATTAAAATAGTTTGTGGTCATACCATTCCATTAACTTAAGATAATCATCTGCATTCGGTATTATTGCTTATCAATCCTCTCGACATTATTTGTCACCAAAAGATTTTTATATTAAAAAAAGGTAACTAATGTATGTCAGCTATATTTGGCCGCTTGCTAGTAGCCGGTGAACAAAAAAGGTAACTAATGTATGTCAGCTATATTTGGCCGCTTGCTAGTAGCCGGTGAACAAAAAAGGTAACTAATGTATGTCAGCTATATTTGGCCGCTTGCTAGTAGCCGGTGAACATTACATTTTCCGGTGGAAAAAAGGCTTATGCCTGGCATGCGAATTTACGTTAACTGACAGAAACATGAAATTTGCCGGTAGCAGCTGGTCTAAGTTGTACGTCTATTGACAGAACAAGTCCGCTTAAATCAGTTCCGTCTCGGTAACATTAGAAATACTTACTGCAGTTTGGATCAGATCCGTCTAGCTTACAATCACCTAAAATAATCAATGTGTTTTATAATTATTTCAAATTTCATTCATGTGAAAAAGGACAAGTAAAGATTACAGTCAGGTTCAGTTAATCTTAACTGAATTTGGTTAGTCTGTTTAGGTCCTATTTTGTCATATGGCTCCTCATTTTGCATCACTGCCTTTGAAATGTTTAAGTTTGAGCGTTCTTGATGAAGTAAACCCAGAAAAGTGCTTTTGGCGCATGAAATGCATAAAGTACTTATTTCATGAACACAATACAATTACAGCTTAACGATTCAAAATTTAAAATTGCACCCTTACTATTAATTTCTGTTTGATCTTACGACATTATAAGTTTTGATAGACTTAGCAAATCGATAGTGTTATTCTGTGTACAGATATTCTGATGATACAGGTGTATATATTTTATTCTTTTGTAACATGAATATATTGTAACGTCATTCTGTATATACAACATTTGATTTAATAAAAAGACACAAAGAAATTGTTTGTTCTCCGGTATTTTATCAATATTTTATATTTGCATTGCTTCTGTAATGCGTCTCCAATCCTTTCGTTGTATTTTAGTTAGATTTGTCTGCGTACACTGTTCTCGTATCATTTCATGGCGTAAAGTTTTTTTTTTTTGTTTGACATGGAATCCTGAGTTCCTTAAGTTTTTGCAAAGCTTACACTTTCGGCGAAATACAAACTATATTACATTCAGTATTTTTAACTGATATGTTTTTATTTTTTTTTAAGCATTTACTTGGGGATTTTTTATACTGTATTGAATGCTTTATCTGATAAAAAATGAATCTCAACTTACGGCATGTTTGATCTACACATTTCCATCCAAGTCCACTGTCTTTTGGCACCATACATTCAGAACATACTTGGCCATCCGTATAGTCATAAGGTCTTGATTTGTAAGATACACTTTAAAAAAATTAAGAATAATTAGCTTATGTTGAAGTTTTGCTTCCTTCCTGTTATATAATGTCATATTGAAGCTTGCAAAGTTTTTATCAATCTAATATTGTTTACTTTACAATATTAAGTTATTTCTAAAATCAAAAGCAAGGCAAGATGTGCATTTTATTACAAATTGTATTCACCTTTGTCGTATTGTTTGCAAGTTTATAATTAACCTATGTTAGAACATTTTCCCCTTGTTCAACACTATTTACAAATAAACTCACCTCTAATTCAGAGTAAAAAAAGACCCATTATAAGGGAACGACTGTTTTAATTATTTGATAAATTTATAAATATTATAAAATACAGTTCCGTTCGATGGGAATGGGAAAATAAATGTCATTCAATATTCAATTTATAGGGAATTTCATTGGCTTTGCACATAAAAAAAACCTTGATTCAACCTAACGGGAACTTTAATGTCCTCTTGCAACATAAATTTCTAATATGCTGTTCCCTATCTCCGGTAGATAGAATCTGTCAAACAACATTGTGATCTATTTTTAATTTGCAATCGTCATAAATATGTATGTGTATAATCTTCAACATTAGAAGTTAACACGCAACTATCATTAAACTCATCATAGATACAATGTACATGATTAAGACATTTTGTACGACAGACGCGCGTTTCGCCTTCAAAAGACTTCGTTAGTGGCGCTCAAATCAAAAAGGTTAAAACGGCCAAATAAAGTACGCAGAAGTTACTGAGATATGGGACATACATCAGCAAGAAAGCACACAAAGACAAATATAACAACCAACTGTTCACTAGCAATTGTATCAGCCAGTGTGTTAAACAAAAGGCAAAGCGTACCAGTGTTAACTGTGTTCAATGTGAGTGTCTTATCTCGCCTTCGTCTGGACGCGTACATCTCAGTTATGGAATGCAAAAATGCATAATGAACAGCCTAAAAGGTATCAACAGAACCATGGATGGTTCATATTGACAGATGGAGAAGCAACCTAAGTTTTGAATCAACCTATCGGAAACTTTAATGTCCTGCTGCAACCTAAATTTCTGACTTGCTGTTCCGTATCTCCGGTAGGAAGAATCTAATAGACAACATTGTAAGTCATTGTTTAATTTGCAATTGTTATAAATATGTATGAGGATAATCTTTAACAGAAGAAGTGAACACACAACTATCAGTAAACTCATCATACATACAATGTACCAGGATTAAAATTGTGTACGCTAGATGCGCGTTTCGTCTTCAAATGACTCGTCAGTCACGCTCAAATCAAAAAAGTTAAAAAAGCCAAATAAAGTACGAAGTAGAAGAGCATATCGCGTATAGCAGTACCAAAGTGAAATGACATATTTTTTATTAATGTTACAGCCTTCAGATTCTGTGACCATGTTGGTAGTTGTCGTTTATTGCTTCTTCTCGTATTTGTTTTTTGTTTGTTGTTTTGCATTGTTTGTTCTTATGTTGTGCCGATACCACTGTCCCAAGCTAAGGAGAGGATTGGCGCCTCTAAACATATTTAACTTCGCCTCATTTTTTATGTGCATGTCCCAAGTCAAGATCCTGTATTTCAGTGGTTGTCGTTTGTTCATGTCTGTCATATTTGTTTTTCATAAATTGTTTTGTTATAAGTAATGCCGTTACTAGTAGTTTTTTTAGTTAAATTGTTTCATATTTTTGGATGTTGGTGCTTTCTATAGCCGACTATACGGTATGGGTTTTACTCATTGTTGAAGGCCATACGGTTGTCTATAACTGCTTACATCCACTTCATTTGAACATTGGTGGATAGTTGTCTCATTTGTAATCATACCACATCTCCTTAAATTATATAATTAGACAGTATTTTAGTATTTTTATGATAAACTTTTTATCAAATCTGTTTGCGAAATAATTTGCTTCACACATTGATTCAGTATAAGAATGCATCAGTTTCAAAGTTTAATGCTATAGAAAATTCATTCTTTCGTCATTGTCAGCTCAATGCACATATCAATCAAGTTAAATGTATGGTTTATTTACATAATTTAATTTTTATACATATAAAATTGTCTTTCAATTAAGGAATTGACAACAATTTTTAACGCTTTCAACAAGCCTCTGTTGAAAACATAAAAATTAAAATTAAAAAAAATCCAATTGTTTCAAAAATATAATAAAGTCGAAATTTCAAAAATCACTTACATGAACTCAAAACAAATATGAATAATTAAAAAAAGAACACAGATTTTACGCTTTCTTTGCGCATTGCAACTGACTTTGTTATCAGGGTTACCATAGATAATATACGTCGTCTGGTCTTTTAAGTACCGAACGTGGCCTATTCCCGAATATGACTGTTATGCTGAGTGTGAATCCGCATTGCTATTATGCGTGTCTCGGTATTTGTACATCCAACATTCATATATTTAGTTATGATGTTTTATTTGTAATTCTGATTGGATATTGTTTTATGTCTTATCGTTTGTGGTTTTAATTCTATTTTTATTTTCTAAATGTATGTAAAAGTAAAGATAATTAATCACCTAGTTGATTTGTATGATCTTTGGTTTAAAGCAACTATATGCACAGGATTAATTTGTTTTTACACAGTTTGATATTCTTGTAATTGTTAGAAAATACATCAAAGAACACCATTACAAACTTAATCCCGATTTTATATTCAATTTTTAGAAATTTTCCTGTGACGTCACTTTTTGTGGCGTTGATACATTCGTGTGACGCAAGTTCATAGTTCTATTATGCTGTATTTGTGTACTGTCGTAAATTAATTTTGGATATTCTTTGTTATTCTGTGGTTTACATGTCGAAATGTACTATTATATTATTAATCTATGTATTTCTCTGTCCTGGGTGTTCTTGCATTTATTTGTACTGTAATCCTGTCACGTAATGTTGTCATTCTAACGGTATTTTTAACAGTGCCATATAAGCGGGAGGTTTGGCTAGCCATAAAACCAGGTTCAATCCAATCAATAAGTAGAAAATAAACTAACAATCAATCAATCTTAAAATGTCTGTACCAAGTCAGGAATATGGCAGTTGTTATCAAATAGTTCGTTTCTATGTGTGTTGCATTGGCGTTTGTTTTTGTTGCATTTCAGTGTTTCTGTTGTTCCGTTGTTTTCCTCTTGTAGTTGATGTGTTTCCCTCGGTTTTGGTTTGTGGCCCGGATTTGTTTTCTCTCAGTCAATTTATGACTTTTTAACAGCGGTATACTACTGTTGCCTTTATTTATATATATAGGCGTGCGTAATAAATAAAAAGCAATGCAAACACATTGAAAAACTGAGAACGATCCCATCGTGGACTAAAATATATGATGAAAGGAGATGTCAGATTAAGGTCAATAAGAATGCAACCCAAAGACAAAAATACCCCCCCCCCCCCACAATCATCTTATCAGTTCATTAGTAATTGTATTAGCCATTGTAATAAACCACAAGATAGACGTAACCCCATTAACTGCGTCTAATGTGAATTTCTGCCCTTACCTTCGTCTGGACGCGTACATTTAAGTTAAGGAAATGCAAAGATGCATTAATACAGGAAGCTATATAAACAACAGCCTTAAATGTATAACCAGAACCTTAAATGGTTCATTCTGACAGAGGGATAAGCAACCTTATATAAACAAAAGCCTCAAATATATCACCAAAACCATGAATGGTTCATTCTGACAGAGGGATTAGCAACCTACGTGTTTGTAATTTGTAATGCAAGTAAAACATTTATCGGTAATTCATCATAAAACTGTATGTTATAAGCCACAGCTGATTTCAAACATTGACCTCTGGTTTATGATATGCAATCAAAGTGCAACAGCAGTGGAACGATATTTCAATTATTGATGCTCTTTTATCAAGTAAATGACTTTCATCTGTTCGTATTTCATAAAAATGGAACCATTGGAAAGGCAGTTGGTTGAATTACTTAAAGGTAAGTACTTACGGAGGCCAGTAGTCACAGACCCAGTACCAAGCATTGTTCCATACTTCTTGTTGAGTTGGGGTTGAAATAAACAAGGTGTCACATTTATTTACTGCACAACCAACTTTAATTGTTCTCCAATTA